TTCCGCATTATTCTAAATTTTAACATGGTATTAGAGCCTAATTTCGTACTCTAGTCACCGATCTTCCATCGAGAATTGTCGGACTCTCTTCCTGCCATCCTTTGTGCATGAAGGGAGGGGCACTCTTCTTCTCTCCCGGTGAGCACAAAAATATTTAGAATATTGAGGATTTGAATCTTCGGAGTCCTCTGCTTCGCCTGAAGTGCTCGATTTTGGAGCTATTCGCCTGATATGTGCCACTCGATCTTGGAGCTACTCGATCTCGAGCTGTTCGAATCGTTCACTGGCCGTTGGCCGCTCGATTGGTTTATCAACTGCTTCGTCCGCCTGGAGAGCTCGAACCCTTAACAATATTTCTGTCTCCCTTTGAGTCAGACGAGAGCTACGAGAATCCTCTTTCTCCTACGAAAGTAATCGTCTAAGCCGCAAGGAGCTTCTTCCTCATTTGATCGTCTGAGCTGAAAGGGGTTCTCTTCTATCCGATTCACGCACGCATCTTGAGTCGGAAGATCTTCCTTCTTCCTGTGGTCTGTTTGCAAGAAGCGTTTCCTTTTTCATCCGGTCAAATTGCAGATCAAGGGCTTCTTCATCATTCGATTGTCCAAACTCGGCGACGATGAGTTCGGCTGCATGCTCGCCGCCATCCTTCGCGACAAGGAGGAGATTCAGCACGTTCTCCAGATCAAGATATGCTTCTTCCTTCCCAGGCTTAACCTCCGCTAAGAACTTCGCATCATCCCCGAAAACCTCGGTTCTCCATCCGAATTCTTCCGTCAAGCGGCCGAGCATATTTATCTCCGCACTGACATCTCCGTTCGTTTCCTGAAAAGCGAACCAAGCGGTGCTCTCGGATCTGTTTTGTTGCAGTGGTTGTCTAAACATTGGTCCATCGATGATGCGCCAGAGCTCCGTTCTTCACGGTTATCGACAGATATGGTTTCGCTTGCAACTGAAAGACTGGATTGCAATACAGAAATCTGTTTCTGTCACTCCTCTTCTAGGGATTTCATTTTTTCGTCATAGTATGACTAACGACATTTTAGACTGCTTCTTCCTCTTTCAACTACTTCCATCAAGACTTCCTCCGACTACTTCTTACGAGTCTTCAACTCCTTTTGCTACAGAAATTCTGAACTTCGGACCTTCTCCTATTGCTGAATTTTTGAACTTTTCTTGGAGGTGGAGAATTGGATTTTACAGTGGCTTCAAGCTCTAGACCTTCATGTTATCAGTGGATGTCATGCAGATGAGAGGCTAAGGCCTCTACTTAAGCTAATTGCTTCTAGCGGAGCTGCAGAATATCATTTTATTGCCCAACTTCTTCAGCATTTTGAATGCATCACAAGTTGCAGTTCTTGCCCGTTGCTTATGTCTTCCACTTGTTTATTGTTATTGTGGGGAAGATTAACAAGCAAGAAAACATGTTATTCCCAATTTCCTTTAGAGGTTCTGCATGAGATTCTTAGCCTCATGATTCATAAGAAGAAAAAGAGAATTTTCCAAAGGCGGCCAGCACCGCCTCGCTCTTGTATATTGGCCCTCCGATTTCGCTATCTCTACCCTTCAGTTTCGCCACATGGACTCCATTTCGACTCCTTCGTACCGGGATTTTAAATGCGGCGTGTTTTCCTCTTCCATGCCGCTCACCTTTACCATGAGTTTTCCTGGATATGGCGCGCAGAAGAAGGTCAAGGCCTGGATGGAGGAGTTTCACCACCTGCCCTATTTTTCACCTTACGACGACTGTTCTGGGATCGACCCAGAGAGCGAGTTGATGGAGAAGCATACTGTAGGGGATTCATGCATTCATATGCCTCCTTGCATGCAATCTATTAACCAAATTGAAGGAGGAAATGTGGATAAACATGGAAGTTCTGGTGGCAAACTTCTCCTTTCTGCCAGCCAAATCCGTAAACTACCAGCTGGATCCTTCTTCTGCAATTTTTAACGGACTTCACTAAATTTCAGCAAAATCCCCCTGATGTTATTTCTTACCCAGATCCTTCTATTGGCCTCTTCAATACCCAATGCAGGGTTTCCTTTCTCCTGAAATTCCTAGTAGGATCTCCTTCCTGCTAGATTTTCGTGTAGTCCGCCCTGCCATATCTCCTTGCCAAATCTTCACTTTCCTGCAACCAAAACTCACTATGCGGTTGCAGGGGCTCTCCCGATTTCCTTCCAGAAAACCGCTTTCCTTGGAATCTTGAACCTCTCTACTGCAGGCCCTCTTCTACCTGCATCCTCTCCCTATAGTAGCAACAACAGGATCTCCTTGTGATCCCATAAGCAACAAGCTGTAGCAAGCAACAACCAATCCTCTCCAAGTTCTTCAGGCCCTCTGCCTAATCTCTTCCTCTTGTCCGGATCTTTTTATGTTGCAGGCTCTCAATCGATTCTCTGCCCACATCCTTTTTTGGCTAATCTGTAGACCCTCCTCTGGAGCTCCTCCTGTTCTTCCGAGCACCATACTTCTCCCTGCATAAGGTCCTTTGTTCAAATTTTGTTGCTTGAATCTTCTTAGCAACAAACCTTCCTCCACCGGAAATTATCCCCTGCTGACAGCTGGACCTATCCCTTGATGGCTTTTCCTGCCACTGGAACTCCCTCCTGCAGGCTTTCCTGCCGCCAGAACTTCATGCGGGCATATTTGCTGCCGACTGGACCTTCGAGCTTACTCCTGCAGCCGGTTCTCTCCCCTGCAGCCTTTCCCGCCGTCGGACCTCCCTCATGCAGCTTTTCTCGTCGTCAGATCTACCTCAACAAAACTTTCCCGGCAGATTTTGGCCAGCTCTTCTCAAGGAAAGCACTGCTCTTTCCTGCAGCATTATTGCAGCCTTCTCCGAGCACTACAGCTTTCCTGAGCACTGTCGTTGGCCCTCTGCAGCTTTCCTGCAACCTCCCTGCAGCCTCCTTGCAGCTTCCCTACAACCTCCCTACAGCTTTCTTGCAGCTTTCCTGCATCTCTCCTGCAAGGTTATTGCAGTCTTCTTGTTGCTTTCATGCAATTATCAGTTAACCATGCAATTATCAGTTTGCAATTATCAGTTAACCGGTGACTTACAAATTCATCAATGTCTCAAAATTGAGCTTAGTCCTCGTCCAGGCCACTCTCAGGCTTCGGCCACTCTCAGGCTTTGGCACTCTCAGGTTTCTGCATTCTCGGCTTCGCGGTTTTCGGCTTCGGCACTTACGATTTGAGGATTGTTGGAGTTTTTTTGGCAAATTGATGTTACATGTCCAGTCAGCATTCCACAGCCGATGTTTTCAAATTTAAGTTGGCTATGATTTTCAACCATATTCAACTTGAAGGGGAGTGTTGAAATAACTAATTTAAATAATAGGATTTATAGTCTTTCCTGTTAAGACTTATAATAGGAAATAATTTATTCCTAGTGATGAGGAATAAATTCTTTTCTTAATATAAAGAAATATTTTCTTTTCATATATTAGGAATTATTTGTTTTCCTAATTTATATTATCTCCTAAAAATTAATATGAATTAATTATTAGAAATATCAGGTGATATATTTTTTCTTTTCATATCATTTCCTTCTTATTAATTTTCCCATTATAGGATTCTTGTAAGGGTTATTTATACCCCATTCATATCAATGAAAGTATTCCGCATTATTCTAAATTTCAACAGTATGCTTTGATAATTTAAGTTGGAGGAAATTATTATATTTTTTAACTATAAATTTATTAAATCAGCATGTACAATTAGTTGTCATAATCTTCATGATCTGGTGAAAGGAATGTAATAGATACCTTGACAATTGATAAACCATTTCAACAAACTTCAAACAGATTATATGAACAATTTGAAACCATTCTCTCTTCAGTTTTGATACATGAATTTCACTTCCCTATAAATTTAGTAACCATAACTGGATAGAGTAATGCCATTGTTTGATGTGGAATTACTTGAAAAGTTGGTTCCTGCTTCTACTAAATAAATTAATCATAACTAAATAACTAACAAATATTTGCATTTCCTTGATAGACTGACTTGCTTTGACGTTAAAGAAGAAGAGCTTTAAGAACATTAAGAACATTGCGTGGAATTGATACTTACTAAAATATGTGATTAGAGTGTATGGGTATTGATAAATAAGCCATCTATGTTGAATTCATCAATAAGATCAACCTTAACTATACTATCCTAATAGAGCAGCTAATATAGGACAATTTCCACAGCAGAAACTATATCAAGTCGAAAGAAAAGCGAGCTGCCTGAACATTAACAAGAAACAAGAGTTGTGATCAGACTCAGTATCAGGACCTTGAAATATGAAACAAGTGTACCTTCTATGCTTCCCAAGCTTACAGATAAATTACAAAAAATAATTTCTCCACACTACTAAAACTATAGGACAATATTTGTAGAGCAGGGAATGGAGCAGTAATTTGGTATTGAGCAGTAGCTTTTAACCACCTACTTTTATGGCCAAAAGAATCTAATAAATTGGCATCCAACATTTCTAGATGAAGTGATGATTGATGGTTGAAGAGTTTGAAATTTCTTATATTGTGCTAGAAAATGACTTAAATAATAATAAAAAAAAAAATTACAATAAGTTACTTAGAGAAATGGATAGAATATATTCACATTGAGAATATTTTAAGGGCAGATGCCACAATCAAGCAAGGCATTGCATGCAAGGCATTGCATGCAACTCATATAAAAACGGTGTTCGATAAATGAAGGAATAAATGGATGCAAAAGAAGATCATGGAGTTCCGACAGCATAAAAAAGGAAGACGTTAGTAATGAAAGGATCATGAAAAACTGCTTCATTTTGAACGAGTAAGATTCTATTAAAAAGACATCAAATATCTACAAGAACCAAATATCAATTTATGAAGAAACTTCTCTAAATAATTCACTTTTCCATTGTAAAAATAATCAAAAGTCATCTGGAGCTCAATAACATCAATAGAAATAGTTGCATCATGTTAACTATGTAATATCATGAGACAAAAAAAGAATCAATTCTCACCTTGACTGCTAATAAATTATCAGGAAGCCTAAGGGAACAGCATTGAGTTGATTCATTGATTTCAACCAGTTTCCATGTATTGGATTTCTCAAGTAACTCATCAAGAACTCGGGGTTTGACATCAGCAATAGTACGATTATCACCACTTTGCTGCAATTTGAAAATTCTTAATTATCCTCAAATTGTATATTTTTTTAATTATTAATTCAGATTAAAAAAAAAACCGTACACTAGGTGTAATACTCAGAAAAAGCATGAAAATATAGAAGAAAAAAATATTCAATGTTACCAATGCGCCAACTGGAGCTACTTGGGCGCTACGATCAGCATCTGCAGTGCTAGTTCCTGGAACAGCACTGACAGTTACCAAGGGGCTGAGGGTGGAAGCCTGCATAATTACGACGTCGATGCATCCCGGCAGCATGAGTAGAGTGTAAGACAAATGATATAGAAACTTTAAGAGATCATATAAAAAAAATTAAAAATACCTTTGCTTCAGATACTAATCTAGAAGCACTATATAACCGACTTTCAAAAGATCGCAGCAGTTGAAATCCCTCAGCATTGGCTAATATCTTGATACAATTGTCAATAGTTGAAACGGCTAATAGTGATCCTAACTTGTTGAAGCGAATTCGAGGAGAGGCCTGTGTATAGTAACATCAAGTAAAATTAGATTATAATATTGGAATTCTCAGAATGACACTAACAAAAACAATATATTACCGGCAATCCACCCTCTGCATCAGCTGTTGTCAGAAGGTTGGTATTGTCCATGTCCCAAAACTTGATCATAAACTCATCACCAGCTGCCAAAAAACGACTTTTTGTTGTATCAAAATGCACTACTCCAGTTGACCTTTTACGGAAACCAGAATATGTTCTCTTTAAAGAGCCTTCACTCTCATTCCATTCAACAATATATGAATCTCCATCTTTACTACTCCCACAGGAAAACAGCCTAAACATAAAATATGTAAAAAAGAATCTTAATCAGTGTTTTCCAAAAAATAAAGAAGATAGCGAACATGAAATCAGAAAAGATTAAGAAGCCTAAAGACAAACCTTGTTCCATCGGCACTATAAGCCATGGAAGTACACCATTGGCCTGGAGCAGTATAATCCACTCTAGAGCCTCCATTATCATATAACCAAGCTTTAATTTTCCCGTCAAGGGAGGTTGAAAAAATAAACTAAGAAAAATGAAGGAAGTTTAAGTATAACACAAGGACAGTGCTAAAGAAGTAAATCTATTTAAAATAATGGCTATAATATGAAATGGATGGTACATGAATGTTTTCCTTTGAATGTGGGCATATGGAATAAACTGGTGCTTCATGACCTTCATAGGTATACTGAACCACTGCTGTAGCCGCATCCCAGACCTGCAGAAGCTTGATTTTAGCAGGGCACAGAATAAAAATGCTTAATACTGCAACATGTATTTGGTAATCATGCAAACCTTGATAGTCTTGTCATCTCCACAAGTCACTATGCATAATTTCTTGTTTGGTTGCGAAAAAGCAATGTCATTTACGCTACCAATATGTGCATCAATCTAGTAATAAAATGGGTTTTCGCCCAGAACATCAGTGTAGCATGTAGGAGGGAAAGTACTTCACTAGTATGCATTTGTAATAAATGTCCAGGAAAAAATTAATCAATAGATCTCACCTCAAAATGCTGCACTAAATCTTCACGGCCATTGAAATCATAAAAATGCACAAGGTGCTTGGAATATGCAACACCTGGCAGTGAAAAAGTGAAATCGTCAAATAGAATCATAAGCATTTCCTTCTCCATATTTTTCCAATGCCGTTAATGTTCAAACCTAACATACATCAAGAAAAATGAAAGGAAAAAAACTAGTTATTATCTTACCAAATTGATTGCCATCTGGACTCCAAAGCACACGATTAACAACAATGGAAGGATCTTTAACCAAAGTAGACTGCATATTGTACCATTGAAAAAGATGAGTTTCGACAAGGAATTAAACAAGAAATTCTCGACTAGCCACCTAGATATATAAAGAAAGAGAGCGTTGAACATGCAGAAAGTTCCCAGACCTTAAAATTTCTATGAGCAAGCCTCTCCCTGCTTGACACCTCCCAAATAGAAATATCACCAACATTGGTACCAACTGTAACAAATAGAATTAAATCAAACCCATGCTGTCAATTTATGAGCATCAAGAAGAACTTTATCCATGGCAAAACTGACTTATGATCGATCAAAAAGAAAAATAAAAAAATTACCTAGAATAAATGTTGGTTGAGAAGGATGGAAATCCATGCTCGTCACACTAGAACCCAGATTTAAAGTTACAGCAACATTCTTGGGCAACTCATCAATAATGTGGTGATTTCTAGAAATGCCAGCATATGCAACTGGTAAGTGCGTAGTAGGTAAAGAAGCCTACAAAGGCATTCATAATCAATAAGGTCACTTGTTAGGCATTTTTGAAACATTTCAATTGGTAAGAACAAATCTCTTAGAATTTATATGAAATGCGGACATTTGCTTACCTCTTCAGATGTTCCCATAAGACGTGGCCTTTTATGAACATGTTCTGAATCTGCAGAGTGATAATCCATATGTGGATTTCCAACAGGATGCTTCAACAGAGCAGCTAAAATAGTGAATGAAAAATTTTAAGTGAATATGTTGTGATAGGATGCTGTTGTGTCATTCTGTCAGTACAATAGTTACCAAAAAAAGCTAAGCAATACAATTTGTATATGCATTTATGCAAAATCAAGTGCATGAATATATAAGATCTACAATACTTAATGTTAACAGTATATCTAACCACAACCATATCCAAGAAGATACATAACGTAAACATAGCAAAACATGAATTTTTTTTTAATTTAAAGAACAAACAGAAAACCTTTAAGAAATGTTTGTGAATTGGGAGGTCTGTCAAGGACAAACATGACTAAATATATGTCAAATAAAATTCAATTCATAATAATAAAAGGTCTAGCTTTTGATAAATGAATGATGGAAACATTAAGTACCTGAATTGGGTGGTGCAGCTAGGACAAGGGGACTGGCCGACATTGCTGGATGTGGCATTGGAGTGGCATTTGATGCATTGGCCATCCAACCAGTAAGTGGTGCTGGAAGAGCAGTTGCTTGAGGCTGAAATTGCTGCAGGGATCAGAAATATGTATCACGCTTCACATACTTAAGCTATCTTTCGATAAATAAGGACAGAGGCTATGCATATTTCACCGCAATAACTCCAGCCCCTGCATGAGGACCTAGTTGTGGGAACCCTCCAGGTTTTTGCATCACATTCATGACGGGAGGAGCAGGGGATGCTACCCGGGCACCATTCGGCTGGGAACAAGAGTGATCATAAAACAGGGTTTTAATATCTGGGTTTGGCCTAGGGTTCTTACATAGTTGATGTTGCCAATTCAAACTGTCCACAAATATAAAGGAAAGGTCACATAAGACACAAAAGGGAATGCCATCAATTTATCATACAAGCAATCTACCTTTGATTAATGAGCGTCCTTAATCTCGAGTTCTTAAGATTGGGGAACTGCAGTTTATCACGGAACAAAGGGTTGGCCTCAATCAACTTTTTAAGCTCAGATAGCATCACAGATCTGGCAGATTTGGTATCCCCGTACTTCGAGAGCTGCTCATTTTCTCTAAAAGAGAAAACAGAGAAGTATGACAAGCCAACAAACCTTTCAGCATTGGCAAGCTTCCAAAACCCGCAATAATAATAATTCAACATAAATACCTAAAATTTTCCAAGGTTAGAAGCTGAGTAATCTCCTTAAACAGCTCCTCATTGAAAGCTGCAAAAACCTTGATGTCCTTCATGAGTATTTCCACAGCCTTCGCCCGTTCTCTCCTGAAACCAAGAAACCCAAACATAAGCCGGTTGAAAAATGCAAACCATACGTGAGGACGAAAGAACTCCACGGGGAAAGAAAGGTGCGAACTTATCCAGGGCCTCGAGATACTTCTGTTTCCGGATCTCAAAGAAAATCTTCATCGAGTAACGGTTATCGTCCACCTTGGTAAAACCCGAGAGATACCTTTCAACCTCCTCCCAATTCCCACCGAGTACCGCGTCCTCGAAGTGCTTCATGTTGAAATAAAACCCAGATTCTTGCTCCAGCCTGAGAATCCAAGAGAAACAGATTAAAAAAAAAAAAAAAGACGGCATAAACAAGACGGAGTGGCGGAAAGAAGGGATGCAAGAAATTCCTACCTGTGCACCGTTTCCTTGAACTTCTCTTCATCAAGAAACTGGAGTATCAGAAAAACGAGTTCTCTACTAAGAGAACTCATGGTTTTTCACGGGCAAAAGCGGCTGCTGCTACGTTTCCGGCAACGACCTTTCACCGATGGAATCTACCAACGAGCGATCGATCAACCAAAAGCTCGACTCCGACTTCAGATTTGATGCTATTCAGAAGAAAAAAACTAAGGCCGAAAGGGAGCGGCAGGTTTACCTAGAAAAAAACGAGGCCCGAGGAGAGAAAAAGAACGAGAAGCAGGGGGACGACAAGACGAAAACGGCGAAATTGGGGCGCTGAGAGAGTAGACCGCTGTTGGGTTTCGGGTGGGGACTTTCATTATATACCACCTCCTTTAACTCGTACGGACCAAGTGATAAGTCATGACAGTTATCCTAATAACCAATAGTACCTATCAAATGCAATTTCTCCGTGTGTTGTGCTTTCTTTCTTTGTCTCCACACTAAACGACATTTCAAAAGAAACGATTACGTTCGACTGATGCAGCTGCTCGCGGGGCCCGCGCCAAAACTGCCAGCCTGGCGTTGTCTCGAGAGATCACCGGGCGTCCCCCTTATGGTCATTTTCTCGGGTTATATTGCGGGTATTGAAATGTAGCTGAGATTAGGTCGGAAACAGAATTAAAGGCTGAAAAGCTAATACCTATGCGCAAAACCTCCCTTTCTTCGAAAAAAAAAGGACACACTTTCTTTATTTTCGTGTCCTTTTCGACTTCTCGCACGAGATATCGAGGGAGCAATTTCGCTAAATAGCGCGATAATTAAGAAATTATCTGTTCGCTGAGATATTGAGATGGTGTTCATATAGATTCGCTCCGACTTCACTTGTTTCAGCAATCAATTAAACTGACAATTGGAATTCTAATTTTAAACTGATATGTATTGATGTCCGATGACATTATAAATGGAAAGCATCAGTTCAACCAATCAAACTTACGCCTATTATTAGACGAAATCGCATTTTATAAAATTTAAATTTACTATAAAGCTGTTATGTATTAATTGCACGTCTTATAGTTCATATTTATTACATATATAAATTGCACTTCGGTGCATCAAAATTATTGTTTCTCTTGCGTGACCCGCAATGGAGGGAAAATTATTTCATACAAACACTGTAAGTAGAGATGCATACGGTATCTGATCTGTACCGTTCATCACAGCAAAGATGTATGACGGTGGACCCTATTTTGAATTAAAAAAAAAATTTACTGTGATGGACGGTAGAGATCGGTCACTGTATGCAGAGATGCATACGGTGTCCGTATGAAATAATTTTTCGCAATGGAGGGAACACTAACAAAATTGCACTCGCACTCACAAACCCAAGAAAATAAAAATTATGCATGAAAATGTGCGTCTCTTTTTTAAAATATGATAATAATACTATTTTTAATATGATATTAAGGATTTAAGTGGATTATGTGTAAATATGAAAAATTATGTGTGAGATATATAAAGAATTGTGTGTAAATGGCCCATATATTTAAATCCAATTTAATGAATTGTATTAGTATCAAGTCAAAGGACACATTTTACTGTATGTGATTTTCTAACCATAGATAAATACACAAAATTTAGGAATAAAAAGATTCTGCTCTCTTAAATCATCATTGAGAAGCTTAAGGATTAGAAAATGAATTTATGTTGGTGACTCTGAGAAGTGATACAAATATAAATAATTTTTATTAATAATATTCATGTGCAAATTTAAATTTAAATTATTGATTGATTTTAGTATACAATCACAATTGTATGATGCAATTGTTTCAAATTTTTGGTAGTGTTAAGATCTAAAATTAAATACATGCAAATTAATAATCAAATAAAAAAAATTTAACAATACATGGACAGGCACACGCAATCAGTTCAAAATAACTTATGTAATTTTTAAATTAATCACCTAATGATTCTATTAATTTAACTCAAAGTATAGTGTAGCATATCGTACAATACTATTTATATCGTTTGAACAATCTAAGATTGAATCTCATTAATTAGCAAAATTTTAAACTATTCGAGAAAAATGAGTCAATTCAAACCTATGATCAAATATGATGGTTGATAGTAATTGATAATTTTTGCCATTTGGTATGAATCCCAAGGTGTTTTGGCACGAATCAGAGCAATTTTTTTTTGGCAAAAACCTTCAACTCGAATTAAATATCATATAGAACTCTAATTTTAATAAACTTACATTCAAACTGACTTGCTCAACAAGATGTGCCTAATGACATCAAATTTGATCTAATTCGAGTCAAAGCAAGCCTCAATCAAACCCTTTGAGTTGTTAATTCGAGGGTCAAATAGATTCCAAATCTCACAAGTTTATGATTAAATCGAGCATCTCAATGACGTAAATCCAATGAGCATCGGATAATTCAATTCAGACATCATTAAGACGCTCTTGTGTTAGTATAATATCATCTGATTATGTGAATCAATCTGGACTAACTGATGGAGTGGTCTGGGTTTTTGCAGTATATATGGAGAATGCCACTCCCAAAATCTTTAAATAAACCCCCACTCCCTTCAAAAAAGGGGATGAAGGAAGACTAGGGCATGGAGGAGGAGGGGGATTCGAGTTCTGTAATGGATTTGAAGACCGTCAAAACCTTCCCCCCTTTGTAGCCACTAACTAATGTCAACCACCACTTATCGGTTATCATGGGTGTAGAAATGTTGATTTTAGAGTGAAAGACTAAAATCCTTAATTTGGTCCAAATATTTAGAAACTAAAGTGAGATTGTTAGCTTTCAGGCAAGAGGTAAGTGAAAACTTTACAGTGAGAGCTAGTATCTTCTCAGTCTAACCACAGGTTTAGAGACTAAACTCTGGATTAACGAATGTTCTTTACGCACTAGAGATAGGGTAAAAAATATGTATGCTTCTACTTGTCACAGTACATTAATTATATTTAAAATTATTTTATTCCAACACTGATTATAAACTTATTGCAAGGGTAAGGATGTTTTATACAAATTTGAACTCTTCTATACATTAGTTTAGAATTCCTAAAGTAGTAACTTTACATTTTAGCCCTTTTTACACTATCTTTCATTTGCATTTCTGCATTTTCTTAGCATGCTTAACATTTCTTTTAATTCATTAGGATTAGGTAATACAAAAAAATTTTTCTCATTTTCTATATAATTTAACTACAATTTAAAGAAGATTTTGCTAAACTAATCCTGTAAAAGTTTTGTCTATCCCTGTGGGATCGATACGTAGAACTTCATTAGAATTCTATATTACTTGAAACGATACGCATACTTGCGTAGTTTTCCTAGTGTGTAAACCAATTTAACAACTTAACATATTATTTAATTTTGAATACTAGCCGCTAAAAATATAAATTGGGTCAAGTTTTTTGTCATCTTTTAGAAGTTAAATTACTGCATAATTGTGAGTCGGGCAATCAAGGTTTTGGCATCATTGCCGGTGATTGCAGTAAAACCTTTTTACTTTAGAAAAATCTTTATTTTAACAATAGAATTATTATAGGAAAATTGTAGTGTAGTTTATACACGTGCTTGAGTGAGTGTATTTAAAAATAAAAATATAAAAAGGGTAAATTGGTTAAATGGTAAATATCATTCTGTAGTAACTAATTTTTGTACATGCTCTCTAAACTCTTTCGAAAGTGCACCACTATATCTAAGTAGTCTATCTAACAAAATAAGATACATAATTGAGAAATTTTAAGGATGAAATTTAGCCATAGATTAAATCAATATTTATTTAAAATTAAAATGAATTGCATAAATTTCAAACATGTCAATTGCATAGACAACTCAATATTTATTGAATTAATTCAGATTAAGGGAAATATTGACAAAGAAAAAGAGAACTAGTGAATCATATCCTTGTACATGAAATCATAAGATTAGTAAGAAAAAAGTTTGTATAACACATCCCAAAAAGAAATCCACAAAAAAAAAAAAAAAAGGCAACCTAGGTGCTGTACGATTAAGTCTTGTGAATCATGAATGGTGGCAAATGTCATTGAACAATAAGGAACAATGGCAAACACCTAGGAATAATGATGAACGGTTGTAACTTGTTGTCTGCTCGTGCATTTGATGCTCTGTGAAGCTGCTAGGTTTGAACTGTGGTAGGGCACCCTGCGGTTCGTATGAGTATTTTTTTAAGAAAATGATAATTAACTTCAGACCAACGTGGGCACGAGGAACTACTGCCTCCGCCATATGTACACCCTTCTATTTGAATCTTTATTATTTAGTAATTCCAACTTGAAACAAAACCGATGATATATATTCAAGTGTGAACAAAATTAATTTTCTCAAAGAAAAAATATACATACAATTCCTATTAAATTATAGTTGTGCATAAGAAATACTTGTTGTGGTTGTGAATGAACCAATGCTTCCAATGACCTACTTAAAAGAGGTTCCATTAATAGTTGATTTCTTTAAGTTCGAATATTTTTTTAAAAAACTTCAAGATTAAATGAATCTAACTTAAACTCGATCCTAGTTGTTCATTTATGCTCATGTATAAACTCGTCTATCGTCAAATAAGTAATATGTTAAATGGTGTACCATCAGCTTGAAGATAAATTACATCATGTATGATATATTTTTTAAACAAAATTTGATTAACTAGAATTTATGTAATTATGAATTTAATAGAAATATTTAATAATTTAAATCAATATGTATTATAGTAATATAATTTGTACTTATTTATTTACTTCCGTGAAATTTTTTATTAGTACTTATTTATATTATTTGATAGCAGGAAAGTTTACTCGTAACTTATTATTATCTTATTTAATTGGTGAAAACAAGGTAGATAATAATTTAAAATTTTCTCATTTCTTGATTATTTAGGTTTGTAAGGTTATTTGTTAATAACTTTATATGGAAAATAAGATGCTCATTCAAATTTTAGTTTGTTTATTAATTCAATTGAATACTTTTTTAATTAATATAAATAAATAAAGTACAAGCCAATTACTACTTTTAAATGTTTTAATCAAGCAAGAACAAACATATAAGTGAAAGCTCTGCTCAGGCTCAAGCTGAACATGAACAACTCATAATATGACCAAACAAAGATAATTTAATCCAAGACATATTCAGCTCAATTATTGCCCTAGAAATACACTTGAAGCTTCATAATAGTTCTTTTATTTTGAATGGCTCACTTTGTTTAGCATGCCTATAATGTTAGATATTGCACTATACTCTTAATTTATACTAAACTTTTAAAAATTCAAATGATTTATACTAAAAAATTTTCTTATATACAATAGT